TGTCCTGGAACTCACTTTGTAGACCAGGCTGGCCTCGAACTCAGAGAGATCCACCTGCCTCTACCTCCCAAGTGCTGGGATTAAAGGTGTGTGCCACCACCACCTGGTGGTGTCTTAACTCCTTAGGTGTCTATTGGCCTCAACACACAGTCTTCACGTCTCCCTGAGCTTCATCCTCACTGCACACTGTGTGTCTACAGAAACCTGCCACATCCTCCTTAGAAGGGCTCCTATGTCATATTAAATCATGTCCAAAATAATTAATGAATACCTCTCCCCCGGTGTTTTGAGATAGGTTCTCATGTTAACCCACACTGACCTCATGTAGCCCAGGCTGGCCTCTAACTCACTTTGTAGCCACAGATGATCTCAAACTTCTAATCCTTCCTATTATCTCCCAAGTGCTGAGATTACAGGAGTGTATCACCACACTTGGTTTTATGTGTTGCTGGGGATGGAACTCAGAGCTTCATGTCAATGCCAGGTAAGCACTCTGCCAAGCTGTATTCCAATCCTAGGGAATTACACGGAATATTTTCAGGTAAAGTGAAATTTTCAGTTTCCCCGTTGGGTAATGGGGACAAAGTAGGTAAAGGTAATTTTTTTCAGTTTATTCCAGGGCTGAAACTGTAGAAAATAAATTCCATAGTAGTTGTCCTGGGCATTGAGAAGGGGAAGCTCTGAAACACAAGGCCCAGCAACCTTTAACAGTATCTTCTGTAGGAAACGGGCACAGAACTGCCATTTGGTATTGATGAACTACTATGTGCATCTCTGGGTTCATCCTGTTTCACATAAGTCTTCTCTTTGACTTTACTCTTTCCAGTCATAGAGAGTATCTGTCTGTCTGCCATCTGCCTGTCTGTCTGTCTATCAGCCGTCCTGCCTGCTTACTGACCTACCTACCTGTCTATCTATCTTAAGGTTTTTATTGCTGTGAAGAGACACCATGACCATGGCAACTCTTATAAAGAAAACATTTAGTTGGGGTGGCTCACTTACAGTTTCAGAGATTCAGTCCATTGTCATCATGGCAGGGAGTATGGTGGCATGCAGGCAGACAAGGTACTGCATCCAGTACCTGGAGAGCTCTACATCTTGCAGGTAACAAGAATTGGCTCAAGGTCGCACTGAAGGAAGCCTGAGCAAGAGACCTCAAAGCCCATCCCTACAGTAACACACTTCCTCAACAAGGTCACACCTCCTAATAACGCCTCTCCTTTTGGGGGCCATTTTCTTTCAAACCATCTCACTGTCTGTCTGTCTAGTTAGTTTTGAGATGGGGCCTTTCTGGATCTTGGTTGTTCTGGATCTCACTCTGTAGACCAGCAGGCTAGTGTCAAACTCAAAAATATCTTTCTGTCTCTGCCTCTCAAGTACTGGGATTAAAGTATTGTGCCCCTATGCCTGGTTAGTAAGCAGTTAATAATCAGTAGCATGTCAGATGTTTCCCATGTTCTATTCATGGCAGAATTGCTGGATCACATGGTGGTGGCACACACCTATAAATCCAGCTCTCAAGAAACAGAGGACAGCCAGGCGGTGGTGGCACATGCCTTTAATCCCAGCAGAGGCAGGTGGATCTCTGTGAGTTCAAGGCCAGCCTGGTCTACAGAGTGAGTTCCAAAACAGCCAGGGCTACACAGAGAAACCCTGTCTTGAAGACCAGAAAAAAATGTTTTTCTCTATTGTTAGGTCCTAAAGCCCCACCAAGGAGGAGGTGGCCCCAAGAGACACTCTCAGCACGGGTGATGCAATAGCAAGAGGAATTCTGCCACGGCAGAGGTCCCTCAGCCTCGAGAGGAGAAGGACTCTGACTTTGTCTATTACAGGCTTTTTTAAAGGGAAAAAATCACAGAATCAGGGAGGGGGTGGTACAGAATCAAAGGGAAAGTCCAGAAATCATTTGTCAACCATTTTGACTAGTTCATTCAAGGGTCAGCTAACTCTAATTGATCAATGCTATGGCGATTACAAGCCGGAACACCTGTAGGTCGTCTCACCCCAGTTCCAGGGCCTGGGTCTATAGGAGAAAGACTGCAATGAGGATGGGAAGTACACACGTGTACTCCAGTGCACACGTGATTGGTTACCCGGGTCCTGGTTCCCAGGGAGGGGGGTGCAGTAGTGCTAGGGTATCCCAAAGTCTTCCACTATATTTTCTTCTAATTGTTTTGTAGCTTTATATATATTCGTTACATTTAAGTTGTTAATCTATCTTGAGTTAAATTTATATAAGGTAAGCATCCAATGGATTCATTTACATGTTTTCCTTATATCATCTTTTTAAAAGTTGCTTTTCCCCCCGGGCTAGAGAGATGACTCAGCAGTTAAGAGCACTGACTGCTCTTCTAGAAGTCCTGGGTTCAATTCTCAGAGACCACATTGTGGCTCACAACCATCTGTAATGAGATCTGGTACCCTCTGTGGATGCAGGTATACACACAGTCAGAACACGATATACATAATAAATAAATCTTTTTTAAAAATTTGCTTTTCCCACCAGGCAGTCTTGGGTTGATCTGACTGTGCATTCTGAACGTTGACCTCTCTGTTTCAGGCTATAATTAGCTTGTCTCACTTGTGGCAGGACTTGATTTGTGTGGCTCTGTAATGTACCTGCTGTCCTGAAGTGACAACCTCCAACAGTCTTCAGGGCTGTTTGATAGTCGAAGTTACTGGAGATTTTTTTTGTGAATTTTATATTTTATATGGGGGGGGAGCACTGTGGTGTGGGCTGTGTGTGTGTGTGTGTAGTATGCATAAGATATGTACTAGTATGCAGTGGCCAGCAGAGAACACAGGTGTCTTCCTCAGTGGCTCTCCCACTTTGAGAAGATTTGGTGAGAACCAAATCTGAAGCTCACTATTTCAGTAAGATGGCTGGTCTGTGGGCTTCCGGGGACCTCCTGTCTCCACACCTTGGTATTGGGTTACAGCCTCACTCAGCTCCTGTGCAGATTTGAATTCAGCATTTCTCTTAGCCACTCAGCCTCCACTGTGCCTTCTCAAAACACCTTATTAAGTCAGACTCTTATTAAGTAGTAAACACCTTATTAAGTAGCTTAGGCTGGCCTTGAACCCACTAGGTAGTCAGGAATGACCTTAAACTCCTAATCCTCCTACCTCTGTTCCCTTCCCCCTCATCTGCTGGAATTATAGGCATGAGTCACCACTGCTGGCTCTCAAATGCTTCCAACATTTTGATTCTTTTAAAATTTCATTCATGCTAAGGTGGTGGCAGCACATGCCTTTAATCCTAGTACCTGTGAGTTCAAGGCCAACCTGGTCTACAAAGAGTGTTCCAGGACAGTCAAGGATGTTACACAGAGAAACCTTGTCTTAAAAAAAAGAAGAGAGAGAGAGAGAATAGGGGCTGGAGAGATGGCTCAGAGGTTGAGTCTACTGGCTGCTCTTCCAGAGGTCCTGAGTTCAGTTCCCAGCACCCACATGGTGGCTCACAACCATCTGTAACGAGATCCTATGCTCTCTTCTGGCGAGCAGGCATACATGCAGGTAGAATACTCTATAATAAATAAATAAATCTTTTTTTAAAAAGAGAACAAATAAACAAACAAATAAAATTATATTCATAAATGTTTTACCAACTATAGCCATAAATTAAAATTAATGCGACTATAAATAAATAAAAGGAAATCAATTATTATATCATACCTCTCAATATTTAAGTCCTAGGTTATCTAAATTTAAATTTAAATTTAACTTGAAGTAGAATTCATGGGCTTTCATATATAAGTTAAACTGTATAAAAGTGAAAGCTACAAATAGATCCTGAATCCAATTCAGCTTTATTGCAGCAATGCATTTTTATTTCCCTCTGAGACAGGCTTCTCTGTGTAGCCCTGGCTGTCTGGGAACTAGCTCTTATAGACCAGGCTGGCCTTGAACTCACAAAGATCTGCCTGCCTCTGCCTCCCTAGTGCTGAAATTAAAGGCGCGTGCCACTATCGTCTGACCAACATCAATGCTTTTTTATTGGTACAGTTTAGTTTGCTTTTCCTGTTGCTGTGAGAAAGACCAACAGCAACCTGGGGAGGAAAAGGCATATTTGGCTTTCAGGTTCCAGTCCATTTTCAGGGGAAGCTGAGGCAGGAACCGGGAGGCCAGAATGAGGCAGAGGTCATGGAGGAAAGTGGGCTACTAGCTTGCTTTTTATGACTTGCTCCTTTGCTGCCTTATGTGACACAGCACTACCTTCCCAGACTTCAAAGGCTTGCCTACAGACCAGTCTGATGGGGGCATTTTCCCAACTGATATTTTCTCTTGCCAGATGAATTGGCTGGTTTTATGACAACTTAACACAAACTAGAGTCATTAGAGAGGCAGGAGGGAGCCTCAGTTGAGAAAGTGCCTTTGAGATCGGGCTGTGAGCAAAACAGTCGGCAGCTCCCCTCCATGGTCTCTGCATCAGCTCCTGCCTTAGGCTCCTGCCCTGCTTGAGTTCCTGCCCTCACTGCTTTTGGTGGTGAACTGTTGGATGGAACTGTGAGTGGAATAAACCCTTTCCTCCCCAGGTTACTTTTGGTCATGGTGTTTTATGGCAGCAATGGGAACCCTGACTAAAGCCACCAGATGACCCTACTTGTGCCAAAATTATGATAAATTAATCAGCACAGGTGTTGTGTGTGTGTTTGTGTGTGTGTGTGTGTGTGTGATCAAGGGCTCACATTTCACAGCACTGTGAGGAGGTCAGAGGATGACCCTCAGGAATCCATTCCCTCCTGCCACTTGTAGGATCTGGGGATGGAAGCCCGGATGTCACTTTGGCAGCAAGTACCTTTTCTGATTAAACCATCTCATCTGCCCCCTCAGTACCTTTTAGAAGATGCTAGTAATTCTTCTCTCTGATAATTCTGACAAGTGTGTTCCTACAGTTTTTCATTGTTTGTTTGTTCGAGACAGAGTCTTTTTTAGCCCAGGCTAGTCAAGGATAACCTTGAACTTCTTATCCTTCTGCCCTCATTCCCCACGCGTTGGGATTCCAAACACACCAATTTATTGATAGGGTTCCTGCATAGGCAGGATGTGCAAGGCCTGGGTTCAGGGCCCACTTCCACAAAAAGGAAGTAATTCACAGTTTGCCTTTAGCCGTTTTGCTTTATAGATAATGCAGAGGCAGTCAAGAGTGACACCAAATGCTATTGTAATGAAAGTTCTGTAGTTGGGTCCCAGGACAGCTCAAAACCCAGTGATCTTGCTAGACGATGAACGCTAAAGAACCACTTCTTTTTACGTATTTGGAGAGTTGTTGAGACCGGGTCACATGTAACCCGGGTTTGGCTTCGAACCCCCTATATAGCCTAGGCAGGCTAACTAACAAGACTTTTTAAGAATTTTCAAAAGTCTCCACAGTCTATCACAGTCTCAAACTTGTTTCAAAGAACAAAGTCTCTTCTGAGACTCATAAAATATCTTAACGGTAATCATTTCCTGTAAAATCAAAATCAAAAAGCAGATCACATACTTCTAACATATAATGGCACAGGACATCCATCACTGTTCCAAAAGGAAGGGAAGGGTACATAGTGAGGAAATATTTGACCAAAGACAAGACTGAAAACCAGCCAGGCAAACCCCAGGCTCTGCATCTCCGCGTCTGATGCCAAATGCTCTTCAGCGCCTTTCAGCATTGTTGACTGTAACACACTTCTTTCTCCTAGGTGGGTTCCATCCCTGTCAGCAGCTCTCCTCAGCAGCTAGTCAATGGCCCTGGCATCTCCAACATCTTGGAGTTTCCCAAGAAATCCAGACTTTTCTTTTACAGCTTCACACAATGGCCTCTCTAGGCCTCCATTCAGGGACACTGCTGACAGACTTGGAGTTTCCCAAGAAATCCAGACTTTTCTTTTACAGCTTCACACAATGGCCTCTCTAGGCCTCCATTCAGGGACACTGCTGACAGACACATGCCTGGCCTCAGCAGCTGTCGTTAGCCATGGAGAGAGATTCCATAACCTGTGTTCTTCTGTCCTTAGCTCTAAAGCTAGAACCATGCGGCCAAAGCTGCCAAGTTCTGATGCTTGCTGGGGCTGGAACATGGCCCCTCCCTTGTTTGGTTACATCTTCACCAGTTTTCTGTTCTCCGTGGTTATCTTCACTGCTTAAGCTTGGCTGTCCTGGACCTTGTTCTTTAAACCAGGCTGGGCTTGAACTCCAAGATCTGCTTGCCTCTGTCTCCTGAGTGCTAGGATTAAAGGTGTGTACTACCATGTCTGGACCAAAGCATTTCTTTAATTACTTTTCACAAGTTGGAAGTTTAGCGGGGTAGGATCACGCACTGAGGGTACCACTCCCGTATTCCATTTAATATCAGCTTCTGCTTTAATCCATTTAACTCCTTGAACACAGGATTTAGCGTCACTCTTTTTCCTGGGGCTCCCATTGCTCCTTGATCTGTACATTTTGTATTTTTCCTTGCTCAGCTTGCTTCTTTGCTTCTTATAAATCTTCATAAGAGTGAACACTAATAATTACATAACAGAGTGTATACTAGGCTATCTGATGGTTCCTCTGCTGTCAGGCGGTGGTGGTACATGCCTTCAAGGCCAACCTGGTCTATAAGAGCTAGTTCCAGGAGAGGCTCCAAAGCTAGAGAGAAACCCTGTCAAAAAAAAAAAAAAGATTTTTAAATTGTGTGTGAGAAAAAACAACAACAACAACAACAAAAAGAGTTCCTCTACTAGTGGAATTAGTCCAAATCTCTTCCCTTTAGCCTCAGGTAAACTCTTTGGATAAGAGCAAAAACCAACCACATTCTTCACCAAAATTTCTAAGAACAAGCTCTAGGAAATATACTAAAATTCTTCTCTGAATCTCTTGAACTAGACCCCCACAGTTCAAATCACCCGCAGCACCACTGTCTTCCATGCTCCCACTAGTATGGCCCATCAAACCTACTTAAAGTGTTCCACTGCTTTTCTAATTCCAAGTCCCCATCTACATTTCTCTAAACAAAAGTATAACCAGGCCTATCACAGCGATACCTGAGTCCCTGGTACCAACTTCTGTCTTTGTTAGGGTTTCTATTGCTGTGGCGAGACAGGATGACCTCTTATAAAGGAAAACATTTAATTGAGTTCATAGATTTATCCCATTGTCATAATGGCAGGAAGCATGGTGGCACAGGCAGGCATGGTGCTGGAGAGGCCGCTGAGAGCTCTGCCGCTGAATTCACAGGAAGCAGGAAGAGACAGTGACATACTAGGCCTGGCTTGAGCTTCTGAGACCTCAAAGCCCGCTCCCTAGTGATGCCCTTCCTCCAACAAAGCCACACCTACTCTAACAAGGCCACACCTCCTACACTGCCTCTCCCTATGGGCCTATGGGAACCCTTTTATTCAAAGCACCACACAAACTAATGTATTATTCCTCCTTTTTATAGGATATTCTTACACAGCTGATTGAGATAATGAACAAAGTGGAGCTGATAATGATGCGGTACACTATTGACAGCTCATCCCCGGGGAGGAAAGGCTCCCTCACAGAAAACCAGAGAAAGAAGAGAAAGGTTTTCTTAGAGAAGATAGCAGAATATGTTAGGGCGATTGATATGAGAGAAAGGACTCTCATCCAACTGCTGTCCTGGCTGGAAGAATGGAGTAAGTGTCTAATGGGTTCCAAGGGAAGGAAGATGTTAATGATAGAGTAAGAAGTTAAACCAGATGAAGAAGGCAAGACTGGGCCAAATGGGGGAAACAAACCCTGGGCTTTAACCTGGATGATATTCTCTTAACTTGCTGATTTGCAACTAGGGCTTCTGTGGTCTTCCATGTCTCTTGCTGTATAATCACTTAACAGAGAAAAGCCTCAGGACAGACACAAGCACAAGATATCTCTATTCCCCAGTGGACCATGTTGTATAGACCAGAAGCCTATATGGATATAACTGTGTTGTTCCTTCTGTAAGATGGTTTTCTTTCACTCTCTTCAAGATTTCATTCTGTCTGAGGTGGCTGAGGTTGATATTGAGGAATACTACCACTGGGTTGCAGAATTGGAAATGATGCCGGAAACGCTGAAAACAATTGACGGTAATGTCAATACTCTGTGTCAAATCACCACGTCGCTTGTCGAAGAAAAGAAGAGACAAAAGAAAAAATTATGTAAGTGTACTTTGTAATACTTAGAAATGGGGCTTAACTTTTTACAAAAACACTGCTCTGCTGGTGACTGGAGAGATGGCCCAGTGGTTAAGAGCACTAGGTACTCTTCCAGAGGACCTGGGTTCTATTCCCAGTGCCAGAGGGAACAGTCTTCTGTTGGCTTCCTTAGGCACTGCATGTACATGGCACACAAGCATATATTCAGACAAAACCCTCATACACATAAAATAATAATAATCAAAAAATTTAAATATATCTTTATTGAGGTATAATTTGCATTCCATAAGAGGCACCTGTGTCAAGTGCACAATTATTTCCATAAACTCTCAGAGTTGTGGTGTGATCATTGCCTTTTCCTGATTGGTGGTGACACTGGAGGCTGAACTCAGAGCCTCATACTTGCTAGTCTATCACTGGCCACACCCCCAGCCCATGATAATCTGATTTTAAAGCATTTTCATTATCCAAAAAGATCTATGCTCAGGTGGTGGTGGTGCATGCATTTAATCCCAGCACTCAGGAGGCAGATGCAGGCAGATCTCTGTGAGTTTGAGGCCAGTCTGGCCTCCACAACAAGTTCCAGGACAGTCTCCAAAGCTACAGAGAAACCCTGTCTCCAAAAACCATTAAAAAAAAAAATCTGTGCCCATGTGTAGACAGACTTTATTCCCAGCCACAGTCCTCAACAACTATTAATTTATTTTGTCTCAATAAAGTTATTTGAATTATTTTATATAAACAAACAGATCATATGTAGGTTTTTGTATTGTTTTGTTGAGACAAAGTGTTGCTATGCAATCCAGGCTGGCCTGGAGCTCGCCATTCTCCTGTTACAGCCTTCTAAGTGCTGGGATTGTAGATGTGAGCTACCACACCTGGATGCTATGGGCGGACTGTCCTGCCTGCCTCCTTCCAGGCAGACTAATGCTGCTTTAGCCATGTCGTAGGGAACACAGGCAATCTGCTCCTCTATGCTGAGCCTTGGATATGGTTGCCAGATGTGTTCCAATTGGGGGATGTTTGAATGCTTTCCTCATTTGACTTTTCTGAATACTCCTGCTATAAACATACATGTTTCTGTGAGGCACATGTTTGTTTGTGTGCAAGTACAGTACTTGTGGACAAATAGAACACCTGTTTTCTAAGCGGTTTGCTGTTTTGCATTTCTAGCCTTGTTGTACCCTTGGCACTCATTACTCTCTTTTATTAGCGGAGAGGTCGCATTAACAAAGAGGTATTTCCTGCGGGTTTACATTTCACATCCCTAATAAATAATGAGACCAAATTACACGTGCTTTTCAGCCACTCTGATTTGGTGAAAATATCTATTAAATACTTGTTCTTTCGCATCTTTCATTTTACTTCCTACCTCCTTGGTTTTTGTTTTTATTTTTTGAGACAGAGTCTCCTATGTTCTGGGCTGGTCATGAACTTCCTAAGTAGCTAAGGGTGACTTTGAACTCTTAATCTTTACTACCTCCTGAGTCCTAGGACAGCAAATGTACGCCACCACATCTAGTTCATCTTTTCTTTTTCTATAAACTTTGCATTGTTATATCTTTATATGTACCAATGTTTTGCATACATGTGTGTCTGTGCACCACATGCATGCTTGATGCCCAAGGAGGCCAGAAGAGAGCATTAGAACCCTCCAGAACTGGAGTTACAGATGAGCTCCGTGTGGGTGCTGGGAATTGAAATTGGTATCTCTACAAGAGCAGACAGTGTTCTTAACTACCGAGCCCTCTCTCCAGCCCCTTTTATTTTTTAACTGTACTTTAAATTGTCTTTAAAATTGTCCTCAGACTATTCCCAGCAGGATTCCCATACACTATTGTTCCGTACTGTCTGGAGAGTGACCTCTGATAGCTGTGCTTTCTGCTTCTAATGAGTGAGCTTCTTAGACAAGCAGCAAGCAAAAGGGAAGAAATAGTAGGAGCAGGCAGCTAGAAGCGCCACAGACAGCAAAACGTCACATCAGTTTACAACATCCAGCAGAGAATGAGTGCCTGATTGAAGAGCAAACCAAACCCAGGTGTGGAGGCCAAACCTTTAATCCCAGACTACCCTGGTCTACATAGAAAGCTCTGATTTCATCTCCCTCCCACCCACAAAGAAAGGGAAAGCAAACCATGGAAATATCATCCATTTAGGGCTTGCAACATCACCAGCAATCTACCAAGGAAGCTGAGTTTCCCTTCGTGGGCTCTCTCCACATCTGAGTTTCCAGGTCGCCTTTCCACTGCAGGCCTTTTTCATACCATGGGATGGATAAACATTGCCGTCTGTTAGAAACGGTTCATCTTTGGCTTTCTCGGGGGCAGGATGTGCTTACCCTTGGAGTGTTTTGCTGTTGTTGGTTCTCCCGATGACTGAAGCCAGTCATCCAGCCTGCTCAGGACAGGGCATTTGGAAGGAGCTAAGGGAGGGCCTCACAGCCCCCAAGTCTGCTCTCAAGTCTTAACCAGCGCCTGACCACTCAGCAATATACCTAATAGCTTTCCATCTTAAGACGTTCAAAGCAGGGACGTTACTACTACATTAATAAGTCTTATTATCAGCACTCGGAGGCACAGACAGGTGAATCTCTGTGAATTCAAGGCCAGCCTGGTCTACAGAGGGAGTCAGGACAGGCTCCATTATGCGCAAGTTTCCCAAATGAATTCATGGACCTGGATTTCCGATGCAAATTACATGAAGGTTTTTTATATTCAAACTCAAGTTTGGACCAACACCTTTCCAGCACCCCAGCATGGTGGGTGCAGAAAGTGTGGCAGGGAGCCCTGGGAGGGTAGAACTTTTAAAGGGGAAATGCCAAATTCAGGGGAGTTCATGTCCTGTTGTCTTGGGATTGGGTAAGAAGGGTACAGGATAAGGTAGTTTCTGAAATCACTGGTAAGGTTTTGGGCCCAAAAACCTAACAAAGAGCCATTAATAACTGACAAGGTGTCTTCAAGGGCAGGATGCCTCCTAGGAACATCTGGACCTCTTTAAATTTTATGGCCTGCTCCCTGTCTTTTTAATTGGCCATTTTTAGAGTATCTGTTCAAATTTCTGCTGTGGCAGCGCATTTCTGGAGCTGAGATTGCCCACCCCCAACTCATTGTATGGCTTAAGATGAAGCCCTCCTTTAAAATGGAGTTTGCAAAATCAGATCCTCCTAGCTCCAAAGCTACAGAGAAACCCTGTCTCAAAAAACAAATAAACAAACAAACAACAAAAAAAAACAAACCAGAATCTTATTACTTAGTATCTTTTGGATATGTTTCTTTTAAAAAGTCTTTGTTGTTGTTGTTATTTTGAGATAGCATCTCAGCATGTCTCACAATGTAGCTCACAACGGAATTTGCTATGTAGCTTTAGCTGTCTTGAACTCATGATCCTCCTACTACGGATTTCCAAATGCTAGAATTATAAACCTGTGACACCACATCTGGCTATATAGAGAAGTTCTTTATCAGATAAGGGATTTGTGAATATTTGCTCCCAAGCTGAGGTT